ATTTAAAAAATTTCTACATGTACAATTCAGTGACATTATGTTCTTCCAGTTGTGCTGCTATTCTCACTATCCTTTTCCAAATTATTCCATCACCATTGTCTTCAACTTACTGTCCCCTAGGCTTCCCATCAAACCTTTAAGCTGCTGTTGTCTATCTGATCTCACATAGATAATTCTTTTTTTGTTGTTGTTGCTGTACTTTAGATGAAGGTTTACAGAACAAAATAGTTTCTCATTAAACAGTTAGTACACATTTGCCCTATGACAATGGTTAACAACCCCATGACATGTCAACTGTCCTTACTCAACCTTGGGTTCCCTATTACCAGCTTTCCTGTCCCCTCTTGCCCTCTAGTCCTTGTCCCTGGACTGCTGTGCCTCATTAGTCCCATTTTGTTTTATGGGGCTGTCCAATCCCAGGCTGAACGGTGAACCTCGGGAGTGACTTCACTACTGAGCTAAAAAGATGTACAGGGGCCATACTCTCAGGGTTTCTCCAGTCTCTGTCAGGCCAGTAAATCTGGTCTCTTTTTGAGTGTTAGAATTTTGTTCTACATCCTTCTCCAGCTCTGTCCAGAACCTCCGTTGTGATTTCATTCAGAGCAGTCAGTGGTGGTAGCCGGGCAATATCTAGCACCATCTAGGTGTACTGGACTCAGTCTGGTGGAAGACTTGGTAACTGTGGTCTGTTAGTCCTTTGGACTAATCTTTTCCTTGTATCCTGTTCTCTTCATTCTCCCTTGCTCCTGAAGGGGTGAGACCAGTGGAGTATCGATGGCTGCTCATAGGCTTTTAAGACCCCAGATGCTACTCACCAAGGTAGAATGTAGAACATTGTCTTTACAAACTGTCTTATGCCAACTAAGCTAGATGTTCCCCGAGATCATGGTCTCCACAGCTCTCTGCCCAGCGATTCAGTCCCTCAGGGAGTTTGGATGTGTCTATGAAGCTTCCATGACCTTTCCTTGTACAAGTTGTGAGGCACCATTTCTGAGTTTAGCAACATTCCCGGTTTTCTTTTGTTTTGTTGCTTTTTATATACTAATGTAGCATGGAACAAATAGAACCATATATGCTAAAAATTAAGCTTATGAGAGAGAAAGCAAATGCAGCAAAATGTTAACAACTGATGAAAGCAGGTGAAGGGTATGTGGGTGTTACTATTCTTGCTTATATTTTGATATTTATTTTTCTACAGACCTGAAATTTTTAAAAATGAAAAGATGGAGAATAAAAGAAAAAATCAAGTTTAGCTCCAATGATACATATGTATAAATATATAAAGTAACAACTAGTGTTTTTAAAAATATACATATCAAATCATACGTCAACTCAATTTAACTTCTGCATGACATTCTTATATCAATTACACCGTACAACTGTTCCTGCTATTCTTTTCCACATCATTCCACCAACATTAATACAAACTCAATGCTCCCTAAACAAAAACTCCCCTTTCCCCTCCATTCCACCCCTAACAACCATTAACAGTCTTTGGTTTCTATATATTTGCTTATTTCATATAAGTGAGATCGTACAGTATTTGTTCTTTTGGACTCAATTATTCTGCTCATTTTTTTTTTAATTGTTGTGCTTTAAGTGCAAGTTTATAATTCAAGTTAGTCTCTCATACAAAAATTTATACCTGTGTTGTTATGTGAGCCTAGTTGCTCTCCCTATACTGTGACAGCACACTCCCTCCTTTCCACCTCGGATTTCCCGTGTCCACTCAACCAGCTCCTGACCCTCTCTGCCTTCTCATCTCACCTCTGGATAGGAGCTGCCCATTTAGTCTCATGTATCTACTTGAGCTAAGAGGCACACTCTTCATGAGTATCATTTTATGTCCCATAGTCCAGTCTAATCTTTGTCTGAAGAGTTGGCCTCTGGAATGGTTTTGGTTTTGTGCTAACAGAGTCTTGGGGCCATGCCTTCTGGTGTCCCTCCAGTCTCAATCAAACCATTAAGTCGGTCTTTTTACTAGAATTTGAGTTCTGCACCCCACTTTTCTCCTGCTCTGTCAGGGATTCTGTTGTGTTCCCTGTCAGGGTGGTCACTGGTGGTAGCCAGGCACCATCTAGTTCTTCTGGTCTCAGGCTGATGAGCCTCTAGTTTATGTGGCTCTTTCTGTCTCTTGGGCTAATACTTTCCTTGTGTCTTTGGTGTTCTTCATTCTCCTTTGCTCCAGGTAGGTCGGGACCAATTGATGCATGTTAGATGGCTGCTCGCTAGCTTTTAAGACCCCAGACGCCACTCACCAAAGTGGAATGCAGAACATTTTCTTAATAAACTGTTATGCCAATTGACCTAGATGTCCCCTGAAACCATGGTCCCCAGAACCCCGCCCCTGCTACTCTGTCCCTTAAAGTGCTTGGTTGTATCCAGGAAACTTCTTAGCTTTGGTTTAGTCCAGTTGTGCTGACTTCCCCTGTAGTGTGTTTTGTCCTTCCTTTCACCTAAGATAATTCTTGTCTACTATCTAGCTACTGAATACCTCTCTCCCTCCCTCCCAACCTTCGTAACCATCAAAGAATGTTTTCTTCTGTGTTTAAACCTCTTCTTCTTAAAATAGTGGTCTTCTACAATATTTGTCTTTTTGCGACCGACTAAATTCATTCAGCATAATGCATTCCAGATTCTTCCATGTTACAAGATGTTTCACGGATTCATTGTTGTAAAGTAACAACTAGTTTTATAATTAAATTGTAGCATACAGAATAAGAATTTTAAAGTATCTTGGGAAGGATCTTAAAGACCTGGAACCCTGGTTATCTCTGCAAAAGTGAAAAGGGTGCCCGGGGAACAGGGTTAAGAGGAGGCCTATGTAGCTTTTGGAGTCTGGGTGGTACAAATGGTTAACATGCTTGGTTGCTAACTAAATACTTGGAGGTTTGACTCTGCTCAGAGGCACCTTGGAAGAAAGGCTTGGTTATCTACTCCCCCCCACCAAAAAAAATCAGCCATGGAAAACCCTATGGAGCACAGTTCTACTACGACACACGTGCAGTCGCCATGAGTTGGAATTGACTCTGTGACAACTGGTTTGGTTTTTTTTTTTTCATATATCTTTTAGATCTTTTGAATTCTGAACCTTGTTCAAATTTTATCTATTCAAAATAAGCAAACAAGCAAATAAAACTACAACAATGAAACAAATGTTTCATGTAGACTGTAACACCAATTTAAATCTTGCAAAATTTCATGTGAATTAAGTTTTTATATATCCTCAGATTTCAACACAGTAATTACTTTAGCATATAATAGAAAAAGAGCCCTGGTGGTGCAATGGTTTAGAGCTATGGCACGCTATGTCTGTTAACCAAAAGGCTGGCAGTTCACACTCACCAGTCACTCCTCGGAAACTCTATGGGGCAGTTCTACTCTGTCCTATAGGGTCACTATGAGTCAGAATTGACTCGACGGCAATGGGTTTGGGTTTTTTTTTTTTTATGTTCTATTCCAGAAAAAAAGTTATGCTCAGGTCTGCTTTGCTAGAAGAGGATTTGCCAACAACAATTATAACCCCAAAACCATAATATAAACCTTGGTTGTTGTTGTTAGCTGTGTTGAGTTGGCCTCCGACTCATGGTGATCCCATGTACAACAGAAGCAAATGCTGCCTAGTCCTGCACCATCCCCATGATTGGCTGAGGATTGGACGGTTGTCAACCACAGGACTTTCATTAGCTGACTTTCGGAAGGAGAACATCAGGCCTTTCTTCTACAAATCTTGGTAATACTTTAACAATAACACTATTCTTCAACTTCTACAAACAAGTATACAAATATAGATATATATAAAACCAAAAAAAACCAAACCCGCTGCTGTCGAGTCGATTCCGACTCACAGCAACCCTATATGACAGAGTAGAACTGCCCCATAGAGTTTCCAAGGAGCATCTGGTGGACTCAAACTGCTGATCTTCTGGTTAGCAGCCAATTCTTAACCACTACGTCACCAGGGCTCCATATACGCAGGCAGAGGTCTATAAATAGGTATACATTTCGGTATACTTATTAAAGATGCTTATTAATTAATGAGTATAAATCCACTCATAACCAAGAAAAGAACAAGTTTATTACATCATAAGGTTGACCTGAAATGAATTTGGTAACTAGCTATAATAAACATTTATAACGTATTAACAATCTTTGCTGGTTATCTTAAAAAGGGGAATTATGAACTGACATTTTAATAATTTTCCCCCTAAAGGAGAGCTATTCCATAGCATTTCATAGACCTTAGAGGGGTGTATGCCAAGCTGGGATCATATTTGAGCTGCCGACCTTTTGATTAGCAGCCATAGCTCTTAACCACTACACCACTAGGTTTTCCTTTTCAAAGACAGCCTGCACTAAACCATTTTTGCCATTAGATGGTTAAGTATGCACCAATGTGTCACTAAAATAAAGCAAAAGGAAAGACCAGTGGAATGCACTGATACATTTAAATTAAGGAAATAGAGATGTGAAGCATACTACCAGATACTGCCAAAAAAAATTGCATTTATTTACAACACTTCTCTTTGTTAAGCCGAAAGAAGGCCAATTTACAGAATCAAAACCCCAGAAAATTTAGGTCCTACCACCACCTAATAGCTGCAACAATGGATTCAAACACACCAATGTATCATGAAGTGGGTGCAGGACCAGGCAATGTTTCGTTCTGTTACAAATAAGGTTGTAATGAGTCAGAGCTGACTCAGTGGCAACCAACAACATTACCACCTAATGGGAAAACTACAGACACTTTCAATTCTTTCTTCCTCCAATGGTATAAATACATGGCACAGTGACTTAAAATATACTTATTTTGTTTTTAGCAACTTTGCTGCTGTTAGTTGTTGAGTGAATTTGACTCATGATGAGCCTACTTGTGCACAGTAGAACTGCTTCATAGGGGTTTCACGGCTGTGACCTTTCTGAAGCAGACTGCCAGGCCTATCTGGGTGGATTTGCACCGGCAACCTTTCAGCTAACAGTCAAGTGCTTAACCATGTGAGCCACCCAGAGACTCCTTTGAGCGACCAGTAGAAGCTTTACAGAAATTTTTGTTTTGGGGTATCATATTTTCCAGTTATGTCACTGGTTACAATACAATGTGAAAACAATTAATGGTTGGGAAACACAACATGGAAAACCAATCATGAAATTACCACTTCGGTGCAAGAAATTTAAAGGAACAGCAATTATTTGCTTATGCTGTCCAACTTTCAAATGAAAAGACTTTAAGAGACTTATTTTTACCTGCGTTTACTGGGAATCACTCCAACTTCATCACTCTCACCATCTGATGTAACCTGCCTGGCTTGCCACCATTCGTCATCAGAAGCATTTATGACATGGAGAATGTCTCCAAATTTGAAGTTCAATCCCTGACTGGGAAGTCCACTGTCTTTAGTCTTGTCATAATCAAAAAGGGCTCTGGACTCAGAAGAAAAAAAAATTTTCTATAATTATTTTTTGCACTGATATTAAGTAAACATAGAATTCTGAAAATATATATAATCTGGATAGATAATTAAACAAAACACCACAGCAGGTAAAATAATATCAAGCTCAACTTTGTACTGCATCCAACAAGAGAATAAGACAAAAAAGAAATAGCAAAATTAACTTACTATGGTAATAGCTTGTTATTGGGTTACTACCTTATTTCTTTCAATATTGTAAGAGAACAATACAATGGTAATCTATTTGAACTCTAACCTGAAGACAAATCTAGACAGTTGCTCTAAATTAACAGACAAAAAGTAAACATTAAGAGATATACTTCTCTCTACTTGGGAAAACAAATTCCCTGGTAGATTTGATTCATTAATTGTGGATTGTAAGACCAGATCAATACAGTGATTATTCTGCCAGTTAATTATTCTCCCCATTTGTTCACAAAACTAGAGTTATCAGAGCCAGTAACAACGATGAAAACTAACTACAGATGACTTTATCAGCTGCCAAATATTTTGTAAAAAATACTGCATTAGTTTAATATGTAATTGTTAAATGTTAAGAATATTTTAAAATTTGATAAAAAGAAAATACTGTGTTCTACCACTTGATTAATTAACATACAATATTTAAACAGGTTAAATTATTCTTAAATCCAGTGAAGCTCTCTAAAGAAGACAAGAAAAGGAGCCTATCAATTGCACTTATAACACAATTTATTCAATCTTTTTTTCTAATATGGCAACTGGAAATTAGGATACAAATCATATCCATTTCATGCTACCCAACACTTAAGAACCTATCTCTAAAAGTAAAACTGAGGAGAGGTAGAATTATTTGATGGCTAAATGAATGAACTAGTAGTTAATAGTTTTCAAATGTGTTTGTTACAAACTTCCTTCCAGTTCACAACAATGGTACGTGAGAATGTGAGAATCAAAAGTGGGAAGGCTCACTTAAATACATATTAAAACATATATAACATATTGAGTTTTATTTGAAGAATTCTACAGCTGAAAAATAAAGATTATAAATGATATAAATTACTTCACTACTACTGGAAAAATATTATAGCTAACCTCAAATAATACAAAGGTTGGATATAGTCAGTCATTTACTAAATACTATTTAAAAAAGGCAATGAAGTAGATATGCAGTTAAAGATGACAAAGATGATAAGCATAAAATGGAAAATAAAGTAGCTTCAGAGGTAGAGAAAATGGCAAGACATTCAGAAAAGGGAAAAAAACCATCCTTCTTAACATTTTTATCATCATAAACTAATTGTTTGAATAATACAAATAATAAAACTATATTATTGATGAACAATGGACAAAATAAATCATCCACAATCTCACTCCCTAAATTAACATTAGCTAGCATTTTAGCTTTATCTTTTAATAATCTGATTAATAAAAAAAGGAACCCATAGAATACATGTGACTTATTAATCATAAAAGGGTAAGGAGCACCTGTTAACCTACTATCCAACCTAAGAGTATGCACTACAGCATTACCAGTAACTTACACTCACCTATGTATTTTTCTCCTGATTTTATTATCTCCCTGGGATGAAGAGTTAACCACCATTAGAAAGTAACCACCATTCTGAATACAGCGTCTGTTATTTCCTCGACTCTCACCCTTTTTTTGTTGGTCTGGTTTTATCACATATATATGGATGACTAAACAATGTAATATATGGCTTTCCTTGTTTCAGAGCTTTATAAAAAGATATCATACTACATGTAGGTATTTATAGACTTGATTTTTTCCCCCTGAAATTTAAAATAAATTTACTAAAAAGAACCATAAGACTTCTGGTTTAACTATTGCAGACTGGCTCCATGCCCACATTCACTAAAATGACCAAGGAAACAAAAAAAGACAAATAAACATAAAAGAGACAAGACAATAGGAGAAAAGAGAATTTTAACGTTTTTGGATGACGGTAAGTAGCTAAGCTCAGAAGAGTGGAGGAAGCTATAATGTGGTGCCTGATGAGAGGGATACTTATTACTCCACAGGACTCTAGAAATGTTTATGAATTAGAGATCTATAGTGCTGAGGCAGGCAGGGAGGAGTTACAGTACTGAAAACAGAGATTTTGGTGGAAACATTGTAACAGCACTTAGGTCCTCAAAGTCTCCTTTCCTGTCCCCGAATCCCAAAGACCAGAAGTTGAGTGTCTGGAGAAATCGATTTTGCAAAGCTCTGTGCTCTAGAACTTGGTCGGGAGGCAGACGATGCTGGGCTGAAAAAAGCTGAATTAAAAGGAAATCTGCATATTGAAAATTGAAATTCCAGGAACCTGGTTTATAGTGCAGACAGGACATTAAAGATTCTTCTCTAAAGATATTTAATGACCCCCAAAGAAAAGCATGACATAGGGCAGGAGAGAGCAATGAAAAAGCCAATTCATTCCCTACTCCATTATCTTTTAGTTAAATCTACTAGCTTCATTCCTCATTCATCGGAATAGAAAACAAAGATTACTAAATATTTAAAGACAAAAAACAAAATAAAAATAAACCCAAGAAAACAAGCAAACTGGAAAAAAGATACAGAAAAAACAGAAAACGCAAGATAAAACTACCATTTATATTCTCAGAAAAATATGAGAAGATATTATATACATAAAATAAAATGAAGGTGGCAAAAAAGGAACAATCATAACAAGAATGAGCCCTTGGAAAATAAAATAGGAGAGCATTCAACCTCGCCTCCCTCCAAAAATAAGGAGAGATGGAAGGTAAAAATGTAGATCTCTCCTAGAAAACAGGCAAAAACACAATAAGGGAAAAGAATACTAGATAGCTAATATCTGACTTAAAAAATTCCAGAAAGAGATAGCTAATATCTGACTTAAAAAATTCCAGAAAGAGAATATAGAGAAAATGGAGAAAAGGAAATGATCAACAAATACAAGAAAATCCCCCAGAACAGATAAACATGAAGTCTGCAGATTAAGAGCCCACTCAGTGTCTGTAACAAGACAGAATGAAGACAATCAAAGACACAAGGGAAAGATTAGTTCAAAGGACTAATGAACCACAACTACCAGAGACTGAGTCCAGCTCAAGTAGTTGGTACCTGGCTACCACCATCGACTGCTCTGACAGGGATTACAATAGAGGGTCCTGGATAGAGAGAGAAATATAAAACAAAATTCAAACTCACAAAAAAAGGCGAGACTTACTGGCCTGCCAGAGACTGGAGAAAACCCAAGAGTATGGCCCCTGGGCACCCTTTTAAATCAGTACTGAAGTCACTCCTCAGGTTCACTCTTCAGCCAAAGATTAGACAGGCCCATAAAACAAAATGAGACTAAATGAGACACAAACCCGGAGCAAGGATGAGAAGTCAGGAGGGGACAGGAAAGCTGGTAATGGGGAACCCAAGGTCAAGAAGGGGAGACTGTTGACACATTGTGGGATTGGTAACCAATGTCACAAAACAGTACGTGTATTTTTAATGAGAAACTAATTTGCTCTGTAAATATTCATCTAAAGCACAATTAAAAAAAAAAAAAAAGAGCTCACTCAGTGCTCAGCACAATTAATGAAAAAAAGACCCACACAATAAAGCACAACATTAGGAAATTTCATGATAAGAACACCTGAGAGCTTCCAGAAACTACACACAAGGAATCAGACATCATACTGGCATCAGACTCCTCAAGAGAGTATGCTGGAAAACAGAAGGCAATGGAACAAGCTTCCAAATTCTGAAGAAAAATTATTTCCAAGTTAAATTCTATAATATATCCAGCCAAATTCTCAACCAAGTAGAAGGTAGAATAAAGTTATTTTTAGATATGCTAAGACTCAAAAAGTATCTCCCATGTACCCCTTTCTCAGGAATTTACTGGAGGATGTGCTCTAGCAAAATGAAAGTAAATTGAGAAAGAAGAAAATGTGACAACTAGGGAACAGACTCTGACATGATTAAGAGCCAAAGGGAAAAGGATAATAGCAAAAGCAAGTCCCATGTGAGAGCTGTACAACAAGCCTACAGAGCAACCAGTCCAGACTGGAGTAGAAAGATAGAAAAAATCTGAACTGACAGGTTATCTGGTATGATAGACCGTATTTGTAATCATGTAAAAAACTCTGGAGAAGCTACTGGAAGATAAAAATATCAGTAATAAGGGCATGGAAAATGAAGCATGGTCATAGGGTACCACTCAACTGAGTAATGACTGATATTACACATTCAGATGATTGTAAATGCTATTAATTGTATTTTAAAAACTGTGACAAGGCTATGTTTGAAAGACAGGGAAGTGGCAAAATGAGTGGTTTGGTATGGGAGAGAAAAGTTCTCATCTACCACAGCAGTAAAATAACCAAAGATGGTAAATGAGAAAATAGCAGTATAGGTGTATTATTTAGAAATCTGGAGGTAAAGGCAAGGGAAAACAGCTGGGAAAATGAAGGATAATTGTTTCTGGAGAATAAAACCTGGGGTTGTTGGAAGGTGAGTTTTTTTTTCATTACAAGCCTTTTGATAAGATATGACTTAAAAATAGAGTATTACTTCTCTTAACATAAAAATTAATAACAAAATGTGAAGGTACTCATCAAATGTACCTAAAACAAATACAACCTAATGTGTTTTTGATTTTTGTGCCTTTACAAGTGTTTAACAATCACAAATAAAAGGCAATAGCTGTTAAATATATTAGAAAATGTACTGAAACCTGTTGCCATCGAGTCGATTCCGACTCATAGTGTGACCCTACAGAAAATACAGATAAGCAAAAAAAGGAGAAAAAGATAAAAGGAGAGTATAAGTGAAAATCTGTATGTTTCCTTTTTCTGTGGATGTGTGTATACGAAACACTTTTAATAGCTTTACAACAGAAGAATTTACTAAGTATTACACGAATCGGTGGAGGGAGAGTAAAATCAGACACATTTAGGACTCTCAGACCATTGGTAGAATAGAAGGAATGAAAGGCATAGGAACAGAAGGAGAGAAGAAAGTGAGAAAAATTTGCTTTTAATATGTATCACAGAAAAAAATTCTTTGAGACAAGTTATTTCATATGTAAACAAATATAGAGTACACGCTTGTGTATATAAACATATGTTGCTGTTGTTAGGTGCCATTCAGTCAGTACCGACCCATAGCGATCCCACGCACCACAGAATAAAACACTGTCCGGTCCTGTGCCATCCTGACAATCGTTGCGATGTTTGAGCCCATTGTTGCAGCCACTGTGTCAATCGATCTTGTTGAGGGTCTTCGTCTTTTTTGCTGACCCTCTACTTTACCAAGCATGATGTCCTTCTCCAGGAACCGGTCCCTCCTGATAACACGTGCGAAGTAAGTAAGATGAAGTCTCACTATCCTCACGTCTAAGGACCATTCTGGCTGTACTTCTTTCCAGACAAATTTGTTCGTTCTTTTGGCAGTCGATGGTATATTCAATATTCTTCACCAACACCATAATTCAAAGGCATCAATTCTTCTTCGGTCTTCCTTATTCACTGTTCAGTTTTCACACGCATATGAGGCGATTAAAAATATCATGGCTTGGGTCAGGTGCACCTTCGTCCTCAAGGTGACATCTTTGCTTTTAAAAACTTTGAAGAGGTCTTTTGCAGCAGATTTGCCCAATGCAATACATCATTTGATTTTTTTGACTGCTGCTTCTACGGGTATCAATTGTGGATCCAAGTAAAAGGAAATCTTTGACAATTTCAATCTTTTCTCTGTTTATCATGATGTTGCTTATTGGTCCAGTTGGGAGGATTTTTGTTTTCTTTATGTTGAGGTGTAATACATACTGAAGGCTGTGGTCTTTGATATTCTTCAGTAAATGCTTCTAGTCCTCTTTGCTTTCTGCAAGCAAGGCTGTGTTATCTGTATATTGCAGGTGGTTAATGACTTTTCCTCCAATCCTGATGCCACATTCTTCTTCATATAGTCCAGCTTCTCAGATGATTTGCTCAGCACACAGACTGAATAAGAATGGTGAAAGGATACAACCCTGACACATACCTTTCCTGACTTTAAACCATGTAGTATCCCCTTGTTCTGTCTGAATGACTGCCTCTTGGTCTAGGTACAGGTTCCTCATGAGCACAATTAAGTGTTCTGGAATTACCATTCTTAGCAATGTTATCCATAATTTGTTATGATCCACACAGTTGAATGCCTTTGCGTAGTCAATACAGCACATGTAAACATCTCTCTGGTATTCTCTGCTTTCAGCCAACATCTATCTGACATCAGCAATGATATTCCTCATTCCATGTCCTCTTTTGAATCTGGCTTGAATTTCTGGCAGTTCCCTGTGTGTCAATGTACTGCTCTAACCATTTTTGAATTATCTTCAGCATAATTTTACTTGCATGTGTTATTAATGATACTGTTTGATAATTTCTGCATTCTGTTGTATCACCTTTCTTTGGAATGGGCAGGAATATGGCTCTCTTCCAGTCAGCTGGCCAGGTAGCTGTCTTCCAAATTCCTTAGCATACACAAGTGAGCTCTTCCATCATTGCATCCATTTGTTGAAACAATATATATATAAATACATATATACACATATATAAACATGTATAGGATACATGTATATTTTATATAACAAATATCATCTCTCACCAGGAAGATAAATCAAACACAGTAGGAATAGGCTCTCCAAGAGATCAGGAAGAATGAGAGAATAAATAAAGAATAGTACAGATTACTTATCAGTGATCAACTAAAGTTAAAATAATGATATAATAAAATGCTCAGTAAAAGCTCTACTTAAAAAAGTATGTAGAATATAAATAAACAAAAACGTCTGTTTTAAGTCTCATTAGGCAATACAATGAAAAAACAGTTTACGTACTAACAGTGTCTACTTAAGTATTATCAGATCCATGTTGCCACATCGGTCTTATCTGTCATAGAAAGAGAACATGCTGATCTTCTCCCAAGTGTTTAAAATATTTTCATTTCCTGAATATATAATGTTTACTGAGGATATTCACATTTTAAACTATCATTTACATAAGCTCTCTTAGCTATTATGGAAATTGCTATGGTAATTAAATGTGATGTAAATGGAGATTTTATTATAAAATGATACAGGTAAATTATATGTTGGATGATATGACGTATCAGGCTTGTAATAGCTCAGTAAAACAACAATCTAAAATAAATTTCTGGTCCACATTTATTTTGCCTTCTTTTATCATATCATCATTTATTAAAGGGTTACATAACTTTCATTAGTAAAATTATAATAATATTAGAACTCCTGAAAGACATACTGTAAGAAAATCAATCATAAAGAAAAACATTTCCTTGATTGGCAATATATTTCTCTATAGTAAAACTGAGTAATTCATAGTGAAAAATCTGAAAGAATTTACATGCATAAATAATTAAGGATTGGCATAATTTGAATTAAAAGAATTTACCTGACATAGAGAGATCGCTTCTGGCTAGTTCGAAGAGAACCTGACCCTGAACTGATGCTACTATTCATCATCTGCTCCCGTAAGTCATGTATTTTAGCTTCAAAACGACTGTATTCTGATGGAAAAGAAAAATAAATTTACATTTTATAGATATTTTCAAAAAAAAGTTACTTGAAGATAAAGTATTAAGTATGTAAACTGTCTTTAATTGATTAAGTGTGGTCAGAGTCTTAAGTCTTAATCTGTATAAGATTTTACCCTGTATAAAAATTTAAAAATTATTAATAAACTTCCAAATGTCCCATAAATGAGAACTGGCTGAGTTAAGAGTTTTTCCATGTGCTATTTTAAAGGTAATGTCACATTTGATCAGTTAAAAAAACTATTTCCACATTTGAGACAGCAGCAACAATCTTATGTTGCTATCTAAACATTCTAATTCTAATATTTTAAAAAAGGAATTGACCTGTAATCAATTTGTACTAAATGCTCTGACTCCCTTGAGGGAATCAGTTAATCTTACATTCCAAATAGAGTTCATGCAGAGTCAATAATAAGGGAAAAATATGTCTTTAAAACTGATTAATAAAATTAAATTTATTTTATAATTTATGAATTCTCAAAATTTCAAAGTAACGAAGACACAAAAGCAATCTTAAGTAACATAAAATTTTTATTTAAAATATTTTTTATACAAAAACAAGTATGGTTTTTATGAGTACTATTTTTAACTACATCATACATTCTTGTTAGCTGCCAAAAAACTACAAAACTCATTAATAAAAAAACTTTAAGCACTTAAAAAAATATCACAACTACATGGTTACACATACTTATCTTTGCAGAGGATCTAAACAGAGAGATTATTTTTCAGACAATTAGGTCAGACCCCATCTGATTTTCTTATAAAGCCTGTCTGGGAGTTTGTACAGTTTAAGACAGAGTAAGCGTGATTATTGCTGAGTTTTTCTTTCTTTCACCATCATCATCAATTCTGTTTTATGGGTACCAAAATTAACTGAAGCAACAATTAACCAAAAAAATTAAATACATTTAAAATAATTTAACAGAACTAAATAATTTGAACAGTGTACAATGACTTGTTCTATCCTGACATTCTCACAACAGTTCTACAATAACAATACCAACAGTATCAACATGATGTGATTACTGAAGACAGTTCCTTTTTATCCCTAGTTCTTTTTACCCTCAGAGCACAGCCCACCAGGGATTTCACTGGGTTTTAAAGTCATTTGGAACAGGGGCTCTCTGGGTGGTAATGCTGCCAAATGGATACATACGTTAGGGTCATTTATTCCTTTTTATCTTCAATTTCAATTTTTAGGGGTTGCTTTTTAAATTTTTCATTGCTTTTACAATTAGATAAAATATTCATAGTTTCAAAGCCAAATCTATAAAACAAGGATATTCAAAAGGAAGTCTAGCTTCTATCCTTCCCCTCCCCAGCCTTTACATGTAAACATTTAAAAAAAGGTTTATTCTTCCAGTTTTAATAACATAAGCAGATACACAAATGCAAACACACACCTATGTGCATATAATTGTGTATACACACACACACACACACACTTCCCCTCTTTTTTAGATAAAAAGTAACATACACATTTCTCTACTTTGCTTTTTTCACTTAACAGTAAGTATATCCTGACGATCACTTACATAGTAGTATATACAGACGTCCCTCATTCTTTTTTTGTGGCTACGAAAGTCCTTTTATTTTACCTTTATCTCTGTTTTAGGTGTGCTTCTTATACACTTACTCCACCGAGTTGGATTTTGCTTTACTAACAAAGCTGAAAATCGCTTTCTTTCACCAATTACGGCGAGTTAACTTTTGATATGATCGAAGTTGTTTGATCTCAGTTCTATTCGTAGTTTTATGCTATATGTATTCAAGCCTTTTATATGAATAGCCTGTGGCAAATTATATTTTCCAAAGATGCTTGCATTCCACATGCTCTTCTACAGTGACCGTGCCCTTCCCCCATCAAAAGGTGAAGTCTAACTCCCTTCTTCTGGAGTCTGCGCTGGTCTACTTGTAAGCAAGCGATGGAATGTGGCGGAAGTTCTTGCTTGGTTCTTTCAGGATGTTGTTCTGGGGGAAGCCAGAATCATGTAAGAAGTCCAACTACCCTGAAGCCACCATGCTGCAGAGGTCACATGATAGTGTGCGGAGCCCAAGCTTCCAGTCAGTACCAAAAAGGCATAAGAAAAGGTGAGTGAGGCCATCTTGGATCCTCCAGAGCAACCTATCCAGTAACTGAGTCCCACTAAATGACCTCAGCTGATGCCACAAGTAATACACAAACCACCAACCCCAAATCCCACCTAAATTCTTAACCTACAGAATCCATAAAATGTTGTTTCAATCCACTAATCTCTGGGACAGTTTGTTATGAAGCAATAGTAACTGGAACATAGTGTCACTGTGTGGTCTATTTTATTTTGTTCTTATTTAGGGAGGTTTATTCTTTTGTTCTAATGGTAACCTTTTGTTTGGCTTTTGTCTTTTGTTCCCTACTATGAACAATCTCCTTAGCATTTGATTTGAAAGAATATTCCTCTATATCCAGTTATTAACTACAAAGCAATCAGCAAGCTTATTTTCTTTTCATATTATTATTAAATTCCCTCTCCATTTTCTGATAGCTGTACTTTACCCAAATTGTAAGAGCATATAAAACAAACAAAAAAACCCACTGCCGTCGAGTCAATTCCGACTCATAGAGTGACCCTGAAGGACAGAGTAGAACTATCCCATAGGGTTTCCAAGGAGTGGGTGGTAGATTTTAACTGCCAATCTTTCTGTTAGCAGCTGAGCTCTTAACCACTGCGCCACCACCATCTTCACTAACATTAGCACCGGTTCTTACGTCAATCTCTCTCCCGTCATTCTGGATGTCTGAAGTTTGTTCTCTTCCCTCAAGAAGTGTTTCTAGGAACAATACTATACTAATTCTTTGTTGATAAATGTAATTGCAGCATTTATATGTGACAGCCTGCTTGATTCACAGCTTCTTCTTTGGGTATGTTGGCTCCACTGTTTCCTGTAATACACTGCTGATGAAATTCAGATGACAGTCTGATTTTCTTTCTTTTAAAAGGACTTTTTTTTTTTGCAGGGGGGTGGCTGGAGGTCCAAATAATTTTTTTCTTTTTTTTTCAAATTCCAATAATTTTATTAGACTATTTCCCAGGTACATGGGATAGCTTTCAATATGTAGTTTGAAATTAAAAACCTTTTTTTACCAGAAGGTTTCTTGTTTATATATTTTTAGTATATGTTCTGTGCCACTGCTTCTGTTTTCTTCCTAGGTGATACCATATATTCTTTGCCTACCTTCTATTATCGGTCACTCTCAATTTTTAAAAATTTTTATTTTTATTTTTTTGAAGATTGAAGGAATCACAAAGTTTGTCTTTCCTGAACCATTTGAAAGTAACTTGCTACCAAGATGTCTCATCACCTCCTAACACTTCAGTGTGTATTTCCTACAAATAGACATCTTCCTATATGACCACAAAACCATCAAAATCGGAGAAGTAACATTAATACATTACTAACATCTAATGTTAAGACCCCACTGAAGTTTTACCAATAAAGTCCTTTACAGAAAATTGATCAAATTAAAAGTCATGGATTGCATTTAGTTGTCATGTTTTTTAGTCTCCTTCAGTCAGGAACGGACACCCTGGAGGCACAGTGGTAAGAGTTCAGCTGCTAACCAAAAGGTTGGCAGTTCGAATCCACAAGGCGCTCCGTGGAAACCTTCTGGGGCAGTTCTACTCTGTCCTATAGGGTTGCTATGAGTTGGAACTGACTCGATGGCAATGGGTTTGGTTTGGTTTTTCAGTCAGGAACAGTACCTCAATTTTTTCTTGACTTTTATGATCTTCACACTGTTGAAGACTGTTCTTGTTGTTAGTTGCTGTCGAATCAGCTCCAACTCATGATGACCCCATGTATAACAAAACAATGTGCTGCCTGGTCCTGTGCCATCTTCATGATTGTTGGTACAGGCCAATTATTTCGTAGAACATCTCTCAAATTTAACATCTCTCTCTTACGTTTCCTCATGATTAGATTCGGGTAATGCAGTTGGCAGGAATATCACATATGCTATGGTCTTCCCAATGCACCCTATCAGATGCTGCACAATTTTATTTGTCCTGTTACTAACATTATTAACTTGGATCACTTAATTAAGGTAGTGTCTGACAGGTTTCTCCACTGTAAAGTTACTTTTTCCCTTTGCAAATAAGCATACTGAAACAATGTACATGTCCTCATTCTCATTAAACTTTCATTTAATTCATGTACTTATATTAGTATGGACTCATGATTTCCTAATTTATTCACTGGGTTATAATCTGGTACTACTATTAATTTGATGCTCAAATTGTTCCTGATTTTGTCAGTGGGAGACCCCCAGGCTGAATTCTTTGTGTCTACCATTCTTTGAGTACTCCCTTGCTTTCTGACACAGGATATTAGAAAATAAGCTAGTACTTTCCGTGCCCCACCTCTGGAATCAGTCATTTGTCCAAAAAGCTTTGGTGATTTTAGTGGGGAATAGTATCTGGGTGTCAAGTGTGCTCATTACTATTGGGGAATTGCTATACCCAGGCTCTCTCAGTGGGCAGAGCTAGGGAATATATATAAATATAGACATACACATTTATATCTATACTTATGACTACATAAGTTGAAAACCATGAATCTATAATAATTTCTCTAATTCTAATCAATATTTTAAGTTTTATATTTACTTTCCTCCTTTCCATACTCATAACTCCCTTTTCCAACAGTGAAAATCATGGATAACATTACCCTTAACGTACATACTCACTGGATAAATCTCTCTATATGGAATTAATCTTCCATCTCCATCAACATCTACTTCCCTAGTTGAGCTCTGACCATCCCCACATGGACTCCTCCCTCACGCTGCCCAAGCTCTGACTCCCCACACTAGGCCATTTCTGTGTGGGAGCTCTCCTCACCCTGGCTGAGTTCTCATACCTTGACATGGGCCACCATAGGCTCCCCTCTCCACCCCCACACATCCCTACCTACCTTGCTCCACCCCACCT